GAGGTGTTTGGTCAGTGCCCTTCACTGACATAGTGAGGTGTTTGGTCAGTGCCCTTCACTGACATAGTGAGGTGTTTGGTCAGTGCCCTTCACTGACATAGTGAGGTGTTTGGTCAGTGCCCTTCACTGACATAGTGAGGTGTTTGGTCAGTGCCCTTCACTGACATAGTGAGGTGTTTGGTCAGTGCCCTTCACTGACATAGTGAGGTGTTTGGTCAGTGCCCTTCACTGACATAGTGAGGTGTTTGGTCAGTGCCCTTCACTGACATAGTGAGAGGTTTGGTCAGTGCCCTTCACTGACATAGTGAGAGGTTTGGTCAGTGCTTTTCTCTGACATAGTCAGATGTTTGGTCAGTGCCCTTCTCTAACATAGTGGAGGTGTTTGGTCAGTGCCCTTCTATGACATTGTGAGGTGTTTCATCAATGTCCTTCACTGACATAGTAAGATGTTGGGTCAGTGCTCTTTTTTGACATAGTGAGATGTTTGGTCAGTGCTTTTCTCTGACATAGTATGGTGTTCGGTCAGTGCCGATCTTTGACATTGTGAGGTGTTCATTCAATGCTCGTCTCTGATATAGTGAGGTGTTCATTCAGTGCTCGTCTCTGATATAGTGAGGTATTCATTCAGTGCTCGTCTCTGATATAGTGAGATATTCATTCAGTGATCGTCTCTGATATAGTGAGATGTTCATTCAGTGCTCGTCTCTGACATAGTGAGGTGTTCATTCAGTGCTCGTCTCTGATATAGTGAGGTGTTCATTCAGTGCTCATCTCTGACAGTGAGGTATTCATTCAATGCTCGTCTCTGATATAGTGAGGTTTTCATTCAGTGCTCGTCTCTGATATAGTGAGGTGTTCATTCAGTACTCGTCTCTGACATAGTGAGGTGTTCATTCAGTGCTCGTCTCTGATATAGTGAGGTGTTCATTCAGTACTCGTCTCTGATATAGTGAGGTGTTCATTCAGTGCTCGTCTCTGACATAGTGAGGTGTTCATTTAGTGCTCGTCTCTGACATAGTGAGGTGTTCATTCAGTGCTCGTCTCTGACATAGTGAGGTGTTCTCCCAGAACACTTTTCTTTGTCTATATACATTTTTGTGTAAGTCTTTTGTCGATTGCGACTCAAAATATTGCTTACTCTTTTAATCTGCACTGTACTTCAGCAGAGGTGTCTATTTCCATTGTCCTTGGACATGATACAAAGGGGGGCACAACGCATCTTTTAGGGCAACAAGAATAAATCAATGGTCTTAGTAAAGACTGCAAATTGAATGACAATCAAGAAGATGAAAGTCATTTTTGGGTCACACATCCCTTGTCTCATTTATAACTAGCTGTTAATTGATGAGAATCCTACTGAATGATACAAGTGAGCTGTGTTCATCTCTCCTGACCTTCGCTTCATGCCGCAGGCAGTGTATAGAGGTCAGGTCAATAGGCGATCAATGTCACATTATTACTGTTAAAGGAACAGAAAGCCAAAACCAAATCAATAGATATGTATGTAAAGGTTTCCATATCTGCAAGTACGTTGCCATGACATGGAGCCCATCATGCAATGTAAGCCGCCATTTTGGGCTAAAAAGGGACTGAAAACAACAGCTGGCATTTCACTAAGTTGCTGGACAGGAAGTCATCATTCGTGTTTTGGAAAATCCTCCCTACCCCTAGTATTATACCTTAATTATATAAAAGTTTCAGTTTGGATACATTCTGGAAATTGACTATTTTTTTTTTTTTAACTCTTCCACCTAATTTTTTTAATTTATATTTGTTGTGCCTTCAATAGGTCCCTTTAATTTATATTTGTCAGCGGCGTTGATCCAGAAGAAGATCAAACAAAGCATGCAGCGGATGCCCATTTAGTCCCGTGGAGAGAACTAAGATCCTGATACAATATCAGCTGAGATGAGGAAAGTGGTGCCCTTACCTCGGTATACAGCTGGTTACTTATGTATCTCCCGTTCATCTCGCTGCAGGAGACATGAAATTTGCGTGCGTACAACTCTGCCCGGGCCGCAGTGCGGTAGCTCACACTGCGCAGAATGTCCTCATAGACGGCCACGTTTTGCACACCTGTACAGAGATCAGAACAAGAAAACACCTATAAGGAGGACAGATCAACAACATAATACATATGGATAACCGCATAGGAGCAAATGACGAAGCACGACGCTTGTCCTCTGCTGCGGAGAACTCATTTACAAAACACAGGAATACATGAATATTGACGCTGTGCCAAATTTGATCCCGCGCTTGATGTCTACACTTGTCCTCCTGGACATTTGGAGTGGCAGGATGTTGCGAGTTAGTTCACCTTTTAATTTTTTGTATATACAGTAAGTGAACTAACCCTTTAAATTTCTCCAAAAGTGAGGAATACTCCCTCATTTGTCACTTGAACAGGTGTCCCTACTGGAAGATTTCCCCTCTATTTGTGTTCTTGTGACAACTCAAAATTTTGGTAAATTTTGGATTTTCCCATCACTACCATCCCAGTGACAATGGTCACCAGAACAAACAGAGAGGGAGAATCTCACCTACATACAGAGCAAAGGAAACCCTACGAAGAAGAATGTAATGTCACTCCGACTGAGGAGAGTCCAAACAAAATATTTATTACATAATATAATAAGAGCCAACACGTTTGGGGGCCTTCACATGTACCCCCTTCATGAGGGCTAAAATAGTACAAAATGTTTTACATTATCAAAATAGCGACATATTTTTTCATGTGAAGGCTCCCGACATGTGTCAGCTCTCATTATATGAGGAAATTAATATTTAGTTTGGACTCTCATCAATCAGGGAGGAGTTCCATTTTTTTTTTAATGTGGTTTTTGGCCTAAGACCCTCCTTTGGCTCTCTCGTGTATTTGGAGCTGCCTAACCAGGAAGAGTACAGTGTAGTACCCAAAAGAGATAATCGGAAATCGGAAATCGGAACTAGAAAGAAATTCTATATATATTGTTTGGATCCAGCAACTCCTTCCTGACCTCATCCAAAACTTAACAAAAGAAGTTTGGGTTTAGATAAACTTTAAGAGTTGGGTCACCTACAAACAAGGCCCCAAAGGAAACAGCTCTCTAAAGCTGGCCATACACTTGGCGTTTTTTCTCATTCATCTCCATGGGCCAAATGAGAGTGGATGCTCGATTTCCCCATCTACACTAAACAGCATGGATGGAAAATGTCCCCTGCTGAGCAATTGTATTCTGACAGCCTGTGCCCACAGCTGTCAAAAAAACCTGAACAGTGGTTGCAGCTAACTGGCACCTTTAACATTTGATTGTCAACTTTTGTTGAATGGAGTGGTGCCAGCAGGGCCACACACAGCTCAGCTCGGCCAAAAATTCAAGAAGTGTATAGTCAGTATAGTGCCAGTGTAGTGGCAGCTCTGGAGATACTTGCCCAGAAGGTTCTCGGGTCCAGAAGAAGAAGATGGAACAGAATGTAGCCCCCCACCCTCCCGGGTCCTCATAGCTGTCAAGTGGACTGTTGTGTTTCTAGTTACAGTTCGTAGCCACATGTAGGCTCATTAACAGCTAAAGGATGAAACCAGAGATCAAAGCCACAATGTGACAATTAATCACTAGCCCATCATGAATGAAGATGTAAGCTCCATTGTACACAGAATTCCTCATGATTCTGCCTTGAGCAAAGTAGCATGGAAGTAAAGACAATCTAGGAGGAACAGGGACCTCTAAGAGATATACTTCATCACCTGTGATACGAAGGCTCCGGGAGTTGTTCTCGGTCTCAAGGCCACGTTGCCACGCGGAGGAGACATCCAGAGATAAGCCCTCATACTCTTGGTTCAGGTCCTCTCCCACTATGCCAATCTCGCACCTCTCGAGAGAGCACTCTATTCCATCCGGAGACTGTATATCTAATGGAGACAGGAAGTAATGTCAGATCCGGTAATTTAATAAAACAGTATAATATGCAATAGGATGACATGGACTGTAAATGTGAGATTTGTTTAGGTCTGAATGTAGAGATGATTAGGTGAACAGTTATCAGAAGAGATCAACTAAATCATTCCACAGCACATCAACTTGGCAGAGTCGTAAACCATCAAGAGCTCTTTAAGTCTTTGTGATTTTCATTTCAATTCAATTAATGTAGTATAATGAGTATATCTATATGTGTGGGGCCACCATGAATGCTGTGAAGAGCTTGCGCATCCTCCGATCCAGCCATTAAAGTGTATGTATGGCCAAAGCTTTTTTGCTTTGAATAGAGCAGGGATGGGTTAAAAATTCTCTCAGTATGGCCGAGCGGTGAGAAGAGAGAGAGCTGCCGGCTGTCAGATCCTGGCCAAGTGGCTCTCTCCTCACCGCTCGGCCATGCTGCTGTGACAGCAGCTCCCTCCTCCATCCTCCCTCCCCCACCGCCTGCTGCAGCGCTTCACTTCTCCTCGGATCCCCGCTGCCTCTGCCCATACAGATGAGAGAGAACAGCGGGGATCCAGAAGAGAAGCTGCAGGTTGTACCGCCCCTCTTCTCAGTGCTGTGCTGCGCTCCCTCCTCTGTACCTGCGCCTCAGTCGCCTCGCCCATGCTACGGCCCTGTTTACAAAGCAAGAATTCCCCTCTTAGACAGTTGTCACCAAAACAGAAGTCCTTATTGGAAGATATCACTTCACCACATGTTCTGGGGACAGTTGTAACATTTTGCATTTCCCATCACTTCCTGTCTTACTGACAATGGGCTCCAGGACACATAGGAGTGGTGAATCTAATCAGCGAGAACACAAGTGGCAATAAAACCTGACAGGGATTCTAACCCTTACCCTCTGTATCCAATGTTTAAAAGAAATGGATCAGAAGAAGGAAAGATAAATAAATAAAATAAATGTATGTGTATGTATGTGTGAAAAAAAATAATATATAT